TTAGAAATTTAACATTATGTGTTATAATACTCAATTTGGATATATTATGATTATGAAAAGAAAAGTTAGTGTTAATATTATTTATAAAGATAGTGTTTATGAAAAAGTATAATTATTATTAGAAACTGTCAAGGTGACTTTCAATTTATTTGTTTAAAGTATCAGTAATTAAAAGAAAAGTATGAATATTATGAAAACTTAAAAGGTCTTTATTAATTAAAACTTATTAAAAATCAGTATAGATGCTAGACAAATTATTAATAATAGCAATAAATGACATGATACGTTGCTGTTATTAGTGGTAGATTATAATTAATTGCTCATTTATCTTTTTTGAAGATGAGCAAAACAGTTTGAGATATCAATATGAGGAGATTTTTCTTCTGCAGGTAAAACTTCAGGTAGAAGAGTTTGATTATGAGCATCTGCTTTCACTGAAGTAATTATCTTAATATTGAAAGCCTTATTTAATATATTGAATCTATCTTGAGAAAAAGAAATGACTGCTATAAAGATGGAAAACTGTTAGATTATGGCTTTAAGTTAGAATATGACTAATTTCTTAAAATCTGGGTCATATATAGATCCATCTTGAGCTATTCCCTTAGATAGAATATTAGCAAGTTCATCAATCAATTTTCTTATTTCTAACTTTATTTTTATTTTATTTTCTATTTCTTTTTATGTTTTCTTTCTTATTCACTATTTGCTGATTTGTATTTTATTACACTATTCTAGTTAATTATTTTCTTATTATTATATGATTTCTGGCTAATTGTTTTTCCTTCTTAACCTTCATTTAATTAGTTATTTTTTAATCATTTAACATTACAACTTTAATTTTTATCTATTTTGTTATAATAGTTACATTATATGTTATTTTGAGATTTCTTAACTTTATAATGCTTATAATGACTGGTTATTATATTCTGAAAAAGAATATATAAATGAATTTGCAATTAAAGTAAAATTAAAATTTACTGCTTTCAAGAACATGATTGATTATAATCTTAAAAAAGTAATTTTTTGTAATTAAGAAGAAGCTGCATAATAATTAGTTTCTATAGCAAAATAATAAGCTTAGAATCCTTATAAGAAAATTATTCTAATGTTATAGATTGGTATTCTAATAATTTATAGACTTTTATCATATTTGAAGAATTATATAAAAAAAAAAATAACTAATTTTTAGTATATTATTAAAAATTTAGTTAGGTTAATGAAAGAAATGTATTTATTAAATTTTATTAAATCTTATTTTCTTTAAATATAATATTACATAATTTAATATAGTCTTTATATAATATTTATCCAATTTACAAATGTCTAGATTAAAAAAATTTTTTGATAGATTTATTAATAATTCAATAAAATAAATATAAATTTTGACATTGATAGTTACTAATAAAAATACAAGTAAAACAAAATAAAATTTGAATCTTGATATAATTATTTTTAAAGCTAATCTTTAAAGATAACTGATATATAATTACAGATTTAACAATTTCTTCATAAGAAAATAAAGCTGTTTAAGCTTGAAACTGGATATTTAACCATAGTAAATCTTTTAAAATATCTCTTCATCTTTAATGTATCAAAGTAAAGATATTCAAAATCTTTTAGTAAATAATTAATTTATATTTTGTATAGAAAAAATATTTAAATCTTATTCTTAAAAAAAAATAAAAATAAAAATATAAAAGAAAAAAGAAAATTAATAGAAAATATCTTAAGTATTAAGACTTTAGACTATAGGAATTTAATATTTATTATCATAAAATACTTTTTAATTAAATTTATTAGTTTAATTTTAGTACTTTTAAATTTTAGGATAAAGAAATATAATATTTTTATTTGATAAAATATTTTATGTAATAATTTTATCAGTGAATTTTTGATCAACAGTGATTCATTTTGTAAAATTTATTAATATTTATTAATAAATTATTCAAAAAAATTAATAAACATCAAAAAGTAATAATAATAAATGTGATAGAATCACAAATAATTCTAAAGGTTTAATTGTATAAAACATTTTAAAATGTGTGTTTATATTACTTAAATGTTGTAAAGTTAATAACAAAATATTTCTTGAATTATCTTTTAACATTTGCAAATTAGATTTATTAAAATATCATAGTATTCTTAAGATTTAGAACTTGGTAATTACTTACAGTTTAGATTTACTTATTAGATATGAAGTTTTATTTAATTATTTTAATTTTAAGAAATTTATTTAAAAATAAAATATTATTTCAATTTATATAAAAATTTTTTATTATAATAACTGTATTGAAATAAGCAAAAAAATAAGCAAAAAAGTTACATTAAGCTTAAGTCTAATATTAATTTTATTATGTATTATATCTAATTTTTATCTATCTCAAAAGAAATTATTAAAGATTACTAAATACTTCTAACATTTTTCATTTTCTATTCAGTTTTACTAAGGTTTAAACTATTCACTAGATATTCTTCTAATATTTTTGAATAATAATTAACTCTTTAGGTGATAAGTGTAAATCAAGTTCAATCTAATATTTTGCAGAAATTAAAGCTCTTATCAAAGAATTTTTTTTAGTCAAAATCTGCAAAGTTCTTTGAGATTCATTTCCTGTGCAGATCTTTGATCCTGGCATAGTATCTTAAAGAAAAAATCTATGATTATTGCACAGATTTTTTAGACTCAAATTTCTGTGAAAGTCATATAAAATAAATCTGTAAAATATTTTAAAAATAATATTTTGAACTTGTATACTACAAATTGCAATAATGTAAATAGTATATAACTTTATTTTATTTTTTTTGTAATACAATATAGTGGTAAAATATAATTTATAGTATAATACAAATAAAATATAATTTGAACTAAAAATTGTATTTATTTAAAAAAAGTGTATAAAATACTAAAATAAATTTCTTTAGAAATCATCATGACCCATTTAATTAAATGATTTGTCCAAGTCAATGATCTAAAGAATATTAGAGACTAAGTTTAGTAATCTAAAATATGACAACTGAAGTTAATGATTTATTTACAAAGTTATTATAATCATCAAAATCATCATTAACGGTGAGCTCACTACTTTCAATATTTGAGAATTGTAAAGATTTTTGTTTTTTTTCTAATCACATCTTCATCTTACTTTTCTTTATCAGCTATTTTCTCCATCATCTCAGAAGTTATTAGATTTTAATTTTCAAATACAAGCTGTTAATTGAATAAAAAAAAATATAATTTAATATTCAAAAATTATTTTTAAATTAAGTTTTATGCAATCTATTATCAAGAAAGTATTAACGTATTATGACAGATTTATCATTACACTTTATTCTAGAACTCTTTAGATTCAAAAGGATATCATATATCATAAAAACATATGCGCAATGCATCATGAAGAGTTATTTTTCTTTATACCCTTTGAATACTACATATCTGATCTTTGTAAATAATTCATGATTATGAAAAAGTTCACAGTATGCAGCCTGAGTTTTATCACTCATTTTCTACTCTGCAAGCTTTATGGAAGATATTGTACCATTGATATAATCTAAATATTGTTTACCAAAAGTAGCGAATATTGCATATTAAATATTAGCTGCTAAATCATTTCACTTGTTTCAGTATTTAGTTTTAATATAAAAATCAAGATAAAATTAAAATAGTAATATTATTAAATTCTAAGTTTTCACTTACTTTTGAAAGTAATTTTTCCTCAAACATTGAGATTTATCTGTTCCTTCTAATACTATCAATAAAATGACTAGTATATTATATAAGATACTTTTCTAATGCTTCATAATATTCATTAGTTGATAAAAATAAAATCGTCAGAAACAATTACTTGATTACTTTTTGTAAACATACTATAAAGATAATCATTATGATAATATTTTGATTAAAATATAACTTAAATATATTAAATAACTTATATTTTAAAAAGAATTGAAAAACTCATCTAATGCAATAAGATTTTCTAAAGACTTTTTTCATCTTGTTGAACCTCAGATATATATTTATAAAGTTTGTATACCAAAGTAATTTTCTTATTGATTAATTTCATTGCATAATTAAAATCTCTTTTTTTAGATAAGAATCAGTTCCTTCATTAGCTTGCAGATGATTAATCTGTGGATTATTAACCTGTAAATAGTTAACTTGTAGATCATTAACTTACAGATCATTAATCAGTAGAACACAAACTTTAACTTCAGTGTCATTATGATTATAGTCAAGTTCGTCAATATTATTGTGAGTATCAAAAAAATCAAAGCTATTACCATAGTGAGAGTTATCATTGCTTTTATTATCATAATAGTCTTTAGTATTAAATCCATATTTTCTATTATCACTATCTTGAGTCAGATTAACAAACCTTTTATGAACTACTTTAGTATTAGTACCAGACATTTTTTTTATAAAATTTGTCATCTTTTTTATAGTAGTAGTAGTATTCGTAGATGCTGGTTCAGTTGACTTGTTATAAGTTCTCTTACCAGTTACACTTGCTGAAGAAGAACTTTCAATTAACGATCTTGATTCTTTTAAATAAATTAAAGATATTACTAAATTTATGAATATATATATAAATTAAAATATTACTTACGTGTTAACATTTAGGAGAATTTATTTTTAGTAGTTCACGAAGCTATAGATTATAATTGTACTATTCCAAATGATAATTCACTCATAGTATTATTTCTTTGCTTTTTATTAGTAGACATAAAATTAGTAAATTAAAAAAAAGATAAACAAATAGATGAAAATAGAATCATTAAAGAAAAAAAAAGTAAAATAAAATAAATAATTTGAAATAAATGAAAAAAAAAATAAGAATATCAAAGAAAAAAATTAAAATTTTGAAATAATTAATAAGAAAAAGTTTATCATATATAAATAAATTAAATCAGATTAAGAATTTAAAAAGAAAAATAAACCGTCTATTGATAAAAACTTAATAAGTTTTACGTAATAATCATTAAAATATTCATATAGAAGATTTTAAAGGTAGCTTGTTGATATGATATGATCATTGATATAATATATGCAAATTACGAAAATAAATTTAAAATTGATAATAAAATAAATAATTCATCATAATTAAATTTCTGAATAAATCATTACTTCAATCATCTTTATAATCATTTGTGTTCAATATAACTATGATGAAATATCATTGTGAAATTTATAACAGAGAATTTTCAACAGCTGGTGGATTAAGGCAATATAAGAATGCTAAACATCATGAAAGAATCTCACTTTCTTGAAGATCTTATACACAACTGCAAAGGCTAGCACAAATATTAAAATATGCAATAATATCAAAATATAATAAAAGCTTATAAAATATACAGATTGTAATACCACAGATGCAATTATAGTTATAGTCACAATCACAAACATCTACATCTTTATTATTTACTTTGACTGTTTTAGAAGAAACATCTGTTAATGATAATGATAAGAATTATATGATAGAAGACATAATATCTGAAGATAAAAATACAGATGAAAATAGATCAAAATATAATTTACAAAGCTGAATATAAGATGTAAAAGCAAAAGAGAATATCAAAGAAAATGATGAGTCAGAAGAGAATGTTGAGGAGTTAGAAATAGAATTACAACTATTGGAAGAAACTGACTTCAATCTTGAAGATTTTTAAGAGACAAGTTTAGATAATACTTTGGAAACTATCAAAGAAAAGAATAAATCTGAATGCATCACAAAATAGCTTAATAATACATATGATGATTTTATGAAATTAATAATAGACGATAACATCTCTAATAAAATTGGAGATAAAATAATTAAATTCTTTAATGAGTATAGTAATTTAAAAGATTCTTCATCACTAAAATTAATTAAAGATAGTAAAGATTACCTTAACCAAATAAATTTACCTTCGTTAGACTTCAAAGAATAAGTCATTATATCTAACTTCAGTATTAACTTTAATTTTATTATTGTCTAATTTTCTATGCTATTCAAGCATTGGTACAATGACAAAAGTAGCTGATAATTTTATTAATATAGGTATTCTGAAAAAAGACATAAATAACAAAATAAGAATATTTGGTGAACCTTATGAAGGTAACTGGTAGTTAGAAATAGAAATAACCCTTCCTTTCTTAAATTATTTATTATTTATCATTTTATATTCAAATGCAACAATTTTTGATGGTCTTGGAAAGATATCAAGATATCTGGTGTTTTTGATGCTTGGAAATCTTTCAAATCAATTTCAAAATACTTCAGAGTCAAAAGTTCCTTTAGGGTTTTTACCTAAGGTTCAAGATTCAGGAATTAAGACAACTGATTCTTTCCAAAGTTTCCAGCATGAAGTTTATCACAAATGCTTTAATATTATGCTTTAACCATTATTAAAAAAATCTGATGTGTTGCATTTTATAATTAAGGGACGAGTAATAACATTTACTGCAAGAATTTTATTTTTCTTATAAATATACTTAAGGCTAATAAAGTAACCGCTATATACAAGTTAACACGTTACAAAATACCATATCATACTTGCATAGTTTTGCGAGATAATCTAAATAAAATAGAATTAGAATCAGCTACTCTTAGAACACATAAAAAAATGCAGCAAGTAATTGATGCTGGCTAAGGGAAAGATTATTCTGTGCATTCTACCAAAAATTTCATTCTGGAAATTTCTGTATGTATTAATTAACTATTACTATTTAAATTATTGAAAATAATCACAAATTAATTAATTTTTTGCAGAAATTTAAATATTTATGAAGCTTATATTTCTGTTTATATGCATCATGTTGATCTTAATCTCTTCAAATATCAATTGGAATTTATATAAGAAATTTTAAAGGAAGCTGGAGAAATAGAATTACAAAAAGTTTTTAATGATTGCTTTCGCAAAATTTTACATTTTTTTAGTTTAAAACTCATAAATAAGATAGGCCAAATAAAAATAGTTACTGCTACAGACTATTGACACTTAAGTAAAATTGTAATTTTTGCATTAGATGAAATTTTTAATAATGTGAATCAAATAATCTGTGTTGATCTTTGTGAATTTTATGTAAAATTCAGTAAGATGTATATAATGAGTAAAAAGGAATCATATACTGAAGATGAGCTAAATGTTTTTGAGGTAATTTAGTTAGTAATAAGTTAAATTAACAAATATTAAATTAATTAATGAGTTTTTAATCAAAATAGAAAGCAATTATTAGTTAGTGTACTGATTTTACAAAAATATTCTCTTTATTATCTGCATTAAACTGTAATTTTCCTAAATTACATAGCTGATAATACCACGCATTTGAAATCTAAACTTTTTATTTTTCTGTCTGAAAATTGTAAATCATCATTTTATATTTTACTTTTATCTTATTTAGTTTCTGCAATTTATAAATATAGAGCATTAAATGGTTTATCAATAGAAATGTATGAAATTCTTCACAAATATTATAAAAAATCCTTACTGTTTATCAAACTGAAAAGAAGTTATGCAGCAACTAGTAAACGCTGTTAGTTGATTGATAAATATTAAGTTAGATTGTAGTTTAAAATTATAGTGATAAAAATAAACTAATATTTAATATTAGTTTTCACAGGTAAAATGAAAGGAATTGACTCCATTCACCAGAAAAATCATAAAACTGAAGGATTTGGCAAAGTTTTATAAGAACTGCTTTTAGATGCCATCAATTCAAAAATAAAGTTTCTAGAAGAATCTGAAAATCTGTCTCATCAAAATTTTATTGAAGGATTATCACAAATAATTCTGATACTAGACATATTTTGAATACAATATCACTTGATTCTGAAAGTGAAGATTTTTGCATTAAAGTTTATAATTCAGTTTATTTAGAAAATAGTGAAATTTTAAGAACTATGGAGGAATTCTAAGATAAAGAATAGTTCAGTGATATTATGATAACCCTGCAGAAGATCAAGAACAGTATAGATTGGATGAGAAAGTATGATATGAAAAAGTAGGTAAAATTTATATTAAAATATTTCAGTTTGTTTTTTTCAATCAGTTATATCTTTAATATATTAAATCTTTAAGATATTATTATTATTTAAATTCTTTTACAGATTATTCAAAGAGTCATATGAACTAGCTTTCATTCGTTGGTATGATATTGATTTAAAAGAACCTCTATTATACAATTGTTCACAATTGTATTATATCAAGGAGTATAATGCAATTTCAATCAATTCTATTAACTGAATAGTACATATCGTGTCAAGATTTAATAAAAAAAATCAGTTTTTATTAAATAACTATATATAAGATTACTAGAAAAAACCTAAAGGTTTTGCAAGTCATCTAAATAGAAAAAGGTAAAATTTAGCAAAATTATATTAAAACCTTATTAAAAAATCTGTGAAATTCTAGAAAAGGTAAAACTATATCAAAGCTTATAAAAATGCAAAATTATATCAAAACCTTAGTAAAAATTTAGCAAAACTATAGTATAGACATTTTGTCAAATCTAAAATGAGTTTAGATAAGCAACCTTAACTATATATTTTAAACTTAGATTACTTCAAAAAAAAATTAGTGCATTCAAAAGTAAAAAAAAAAAAAAAAACTTTAAATACATTTTAGTGTTACAAAACTAAAAAAAGAAATAAATAGCAAAAAAATCAAATAAAAGTAACATCAAAGTAACTTTAGAAAAAGAACTTTAGAGATTATGATATTTTGAAGATTATTGCAAATTTCTGTAATGCACATATCGAATAAACAGCAGCAATTTGCATTTGGAATACTAGTACATTTTATTAAAAAATAGTGAAGTTCTGAGTTTTTACATATTTTTGCAGATTTTTTATTAATGAACAGTGCAGATCTTTAAAATCAGAGTTTTTTGCAAGTATAAATTGGTTTAACTTTTCTGATGTTATAAAATATAAAATATAAGATAATATAAACGCTAAATATAATTTGATCTAATATTATATTTTTATATATATTTTTACTTCTATATACGAGTAATACTCTGAATGGTTTAGTTCAATCTGGATTATAGGCTAATCTGAAATTGAACTGAACCGTAAACTGATAAAATCTGAACTGAACTGAAAATTTTGGATTAATCTGAGATTTTGGATCATTTGGAATGATCCTTTTATCATTCTTTTAAAACGATAATTTAATCATTTCAATTGAATGATTTTCTTATTGTTCGTTTGGAACAATAATTTCAATCATTCCAAATGAATGATTTTTTTATCATTCGATTGGAACAATAATTTAATTATTCTAAATGAACGATTCTTTTATCATTCGTTTAGAACGATAAGTTAATCATTCCAATTGAATGATTCTTTTATTGTTCATTTAGAATGATAAGTTAATCGTTTCAATTGAACGATTCTTTTATCATTCTTTTAGAAGATAATTTAATCATTTTAATTGAACAATTCTTTTATCATTTATTTAGAATGATAATTTAATTGTTCCAATCAAACGATTCTTTTATTGTTCTTTTGAAATGATAATTTAATCATTCTAATTAAATGATTTTCTTATCGTTCATTTGGAATAATAACTTCAATCATTCCAAATGAATGATTTTCTTATTATTCATTTAGAATGATAATTTGATCATTCCAATC